AGAACCATGGTCAGCCATGTGGGAATCCAGCAAAGTAACTGCTATGTCATCTACTGGTTTACCTTAAAACTTTTAAAAATATTATTTCAGTTTTGACTTCACTACAGATAAAAATGGGATAAAAATAAATAATACCAAAAAGCTTTTATATGAAGCCCATAAAAATTTTAAAGTTTGAGTTTATTTTATTTAGTTAGTTAGTTATTTTGGAGAGGTTTTTTGCTATAGGGCGTGTGTGCTCTCCAGAAAGACAGAGAGAGACAGACAGACAGAAAGAGAGAAATCACCCCCCAGGGGGGATGGCCACACTGCAATCCCTTCTCCTCCATTCTCCTCTCGGGATCTTGGGCACGCACGCACACGTGCCTGGCTTGAGTTTTAAGCCACCGGGTCTGGGACTTGAACTGCAGTCGACTACACAGGAGTCCAGCGACATAGGCATTATGCTAACTGCTGGTCCCAGTTTGAGTTTATTTTCATGATCAGCAGGACTACATGATCTAAAACCAAACCTGAAATCACATAATTCCAAGATCTGAAACTTATTTTAGACAGATATAGAAGCCCATTGGTGGGTCCAACAGGATACAATATAGCCACAAGAAAAAACGAAGGACTTGTTATATCACAAACCTCTCAAAACCAACAATATGTAAACTGCACTTGATTAGAGGCTCAACTATCAGATGCCACAGATGGAAGAGAACTCAGAAAAGGATCCATCTTGGACTAGAACTATTCTTCGTTTGTTTATTTTTGGGTTTTGCCATAGGGCACATGCTCTTGCCAGAGACAAGGAAAGTGAGAAATCACTCCCCAAAAGGGATGGCCATGCCAAATCCCTTCTCCTCTCAGGATCTTGGAAACATATGCACTCACGCAGTGTGATTTTTAAGCCACGGAGTAAAACCACAGTCCAGCACCTTAACCACAACTCCACCTGCTCACCCCTAGAACTATTCTTTTAGCTCTAAAAATTAAAGCTTTTTCTAATCTCTTAGTGAAGAAGAATTGTGTGTTAATACTTGAATTCACAAACCACTCTGTTACCTATAACTCTGTGTAGTAAACCAGATTCCAGTATTTAACAAATTTAAAATATACATATATTCCAAGTTTAAAGGGAGCCAAAAGTGATGGGAGGTGACAGTAGGTCAAAGACCATAATGAGATCACACTAAGGCCAAACCTGGGGCCAGCAAGTGGCATAGTAGATAAAGCACTAGACTCCCACATGGCTGACTGCTGCTGGAGTCCCAGACCTGGTACCTTAAAAATCACACCAGGTACGTATGCATGCATGCCCACCATCCAGAGAGGAGAACAGTGTTGAGACTGGATTATAGCATGGCCATCTCCTCCCAAGGGACTGATTTTTCACTTTCCCTCTCCCTGTCTCTCTTCAGTGTACATGCACTCTATGTCAAAAACTTGAATGAAAAATAAAAAAGAAAAGAAAAAGAACTATGGCCAAATCTTTCAGGGGTGAAAACTATGATGTCAGTACTACTCTAAAGGAAGTGGTATTGCTGTCCCTTCTTGTCCCCATCATGGTTCTGATGTCAGAAGCCATGAAATGTGTAGCATCTTCAGAACAGAAATTATGTCTCCTCTCTATAATAATCCTTCTTCATAAAACCCTATCCTTGTCTTTAAAACATGTTTCTTGTGATTAAACTTTGAGAAAAAATCGATTGTGGTCACTGTCTCAAAGTGAAATTGCCATGTCTAGGTCTCATTCATTTTCTTCATTTTGTAATTAACTGCCTAAATGGCTTAAGAAGCTGCTGGCCTCACCAAACAATCTGGAAACAGCAATAATATTTTTCCAAAGAATTAGCTGTCAAATTGTTCTTCTATGGATTGTTTTCTGATGCTAGTGTTGAAATGCCAAGGCACTCTGACAGACAACTGCTTGAAAATGTGTGCTCAAAGGTTTTAAACAGCATGAAATATTGGAACCAGCTGTTAAGTAGGATGGGGCAGCAGGAAAAGGAGAAGACAGCAAGGGAGGAGTTGGTGACAATTCTGTATTGGCATATTGATGCTGGCAAAAGGCTTCTTAGCGTTTATTTGTATAACAATAATTATGCTAACGAGTTTTTTCCTAGAGGAAAAAAAAACTTCCACTGTTGGGTACATCAAGAATTCCACACATTGAAATAGGAGGTAAGACTTATATCAGAAAAAAAGTAGAGAAGACAATTCAAAAGTGTGTTATCAAACATTCAATTTTCTTTTAAAAATTATTTATTTTATTATTTCTTAAAGAATTATTTATTTATTTATTTACTTAATTCCATTTGGTATTAGTATTTTTTGTTAGGACGAGAGAGAGAGAGAGAGAAAGAGAGAGGGAAAGGGAACATGAGAAAGCAAGCTGCCAGTCTGGGACTTGAACTGTAATCGGTCATGTGGGAATCTAGAGCCTTTAACCACCATATCTCCTGCCAGCCCCTATTTTATTTATTATTATAATTTTTTAATTTGACCAGAGAGAGAAAGGGAGAGTGAGAAAGTAAGTCACCAGCTCAGGAACTTGAACCATGGTCCATGTGGGAGTCCAGCACCTTTAAACACCATGCCACCTGCCAGCCCCAAAACGTTCCATTTTCTAACTGTAGAAGGAACTCCCCATACTTCATCTCAAAGGCAGAAGAGGAAAAAGCCCTCTGTTATGTCAGTGTGCTCACTTGGGACTTCATACCTTAGTCTAAATCCCTGTCATCCAACATGGCAGGCACTGGCCGTGTGTGGCTATTGCACATGAGTCCAGATCTGTATGTGCTGTATGTGCAAAATACATATGGACTTGAAGACTTCAGATGAAGAAAATGAGTGCAAAATAGCTCAACAATGTTTTTCACACTAAAATTGAAATAATACTTTGGATCGCTTGGATTATATAAATCCATCACTAACATTAACTTCACTTGTTTGTTTTTAATTTTCTTAATGTGGCTACTACGAATAACAGAAAACACAGGATTAATTATGTTACTCATATCATGGCTTTCGTTTATTTCTTCTGGCCAATAGTGGTATATGAGCTGCATCACAATGAACTAAATTATCTTTAAAATTTCTTCTAGATCTAGAGTTCTGAGACTTGGAAAATGTAGTCTCAGGCTACTAAGTATTTTCTTTTTAAGACAGGGTCTTACCATGTGACTATTCTTTTGCCTCAGCCAGCATTTTCTTTTTAAGACAGGGTCTTACCATGTGTCTATTCTTTTGGACAATAGGCACGTGACACCAGGCCCAGCTCTCTTCTCAGACAGGCTTATGCTATGATGCCCAAAGCAGGCTTGAGCTCTCAATCCTTCTGCCTCAGCCTCCCTGAGAGGCTGGAACTAAAGGCATCATGGTCACCATGACACCATGTCAGCTTTCAGGTTGGACCAGAAATTGAGCCTGCACCTCCCATATGGTCCAGCCTAGGAAGCATAGAGTTTTAGCTGCAGCACATATCATTAAGGCTGAGATCTCAAGCCACTAAGGTGTAAACAACAAAGTTATTTTAAATAAACCTAACTTTCATTTCTATTTCATTCTTTTTCTATATTTCTTCACCGAGGCCCCCCAGCACCTTTTCATTTTGTTTCCTATAGATCTCTAATAGTCAACAAGAATCAATGCATCAATTTATTTATTTATAAACTACAAATACGCAGTTTGCAGGGTCATTCTGGACAAATAATAATAAAATTGATGTTTGGCAACAGTCCTTTTTGTGTGACACAATCCTGGTATCTGTCTGTTTTTAATAATCCATAATGAATATTGAACTCTGTGGTTATTTATTTGTTTGTTTATTTGTTTATTTATTTGGTTTCATTGTCTATAAAATAGTAATGATAGTAGAAAACTTTCTAAGTCTTTTTTTTTTTCCTTAAGAAAGATTTTTGCGGGAACCAGCAGTTACCGTAATGGCTATGTCGCTGGACTCCCACATAGTTGACCGTGGTTCGTGTCCCGGACCCGGTGGCTTAAAACTCACGCCGGGCACGTGTGCGTGCATGCCCAAGATCCCGAGAGGAGAATGGAGGAGAAGGGATTGTGGCGTGACCATCCCCCCTGGGGGGTGATTTCTCGCTTTCTGTCTCTATGTCTCTCTCTGTCTATCTATCTGGCGAGCGCACGCACCCTACAGTGAAAATCTCTCAAAAAAAAAAAAAGAAAGAAAGATTTTTGCTATGGGTTGTGTGTACTCACCAAGAGATAGAGAAAGAAAAAGAGAAAGTGAGAAATCACCTTCTTCCCAAGGGGGCATGGCCATGCTGCAATCCCTTCTCCTCCATTCTCCTCTCGGGATCTTGGACATGCATGCACACGCACCCTGTGTGAGTTTCAAGCCACTAGGTCATGGACTCGAACCACAGTTGACCATATGGAGTCCAGCACCTTAACCGCTACACCACTACTGACTCCAGAGAACTTTATAAGTCTTATATTCTAGTGGTCCCCAACACGCTAACATCTCTGTATCACTAGGGAAACTGAAAAGTAAGGATTCCTAGGTTTGACATCTAAAGATTTCAACTCAGTAGATGTGTATGAGGCCCAAGATCCTGTATTTCTTTTAAAAATTTTAGAATTTTTTTCCTTTATGAGAGAGAAAATGAGAGGGGGAAATGGAAAGATACAGAGATAGGTATTTTTGACAGGGTCTTGCTGTGTCACTATCTTCAATGTCCCCCAATCAGCAAGGATTATAGGCATGTGCAATCATGTCCAGTGTATTCAGGTTGGCCCAAGAACCAAACTCAGGCATCTAGTTATGGCTTCCAGCCTCCCAGGGGGTGATACTGCCTGTTTGCCACTGCAATTGTTACTGTACTTAAGAATTGACCCAAGTCACTCTGGGACTGAAATAAAGTTTGGGAACCACTGGTCGAGCCAAACTTCCTTCAACTGTACCAGACTTGGAACCAAATTCTGAGCCCCAGCTGGCTCATCACCACTGCTGAGACATTCTGTCAAACAAGCATATTACTCACTCTTCAAGAGGCCCGGCCATCAGTATATCTTCCTTGTCAGTTCTAACATCCAACTCTGGTTCTCCACTAAGCAGAAGCTTCAAGTTATAAATAATCAGCAAAGTGCCTGGTAGAAAAATAGATGTTTGCCTTGTCAATATTTTAAATACACTAAATGCTCGTTATTGTGCTATCACCTCATCTATTTAGCTGAGTCTGCTATAGACTAAATTTTCTTTTGTACTTTAGGAAGCAATATATTTGGATAAGTTCCAAGATATGTTGTCTCACAGCAAATTCTACTCTCTGCCAAAGAATGTTGAGTTTCTGTATTAGGGTGCTTCTTATTACTATTCAATTCATTTTAATTCTTTCAATTTGCATTCTTAAACTTTGGTAGTCTTCTTGTAATTTGCATTATGAAAATTGTTAAGAACTTTAGTTAAGTCTTAATTACAGGTAAAATTCTCATTAGTAGAGTGGAAATCAATGCATGGAAAGATAAAGATAAGCGTAAAAATTTTGTACAAATACAAAATATCACTTTTATACTCTATAGCAAATGTTGGCAAACATTTTCTGTAAAGAGATAGACTGTAAAAGTCTTAGGTTTTGCAGGTTACACAATCTTTGTTGTAACTACTCACAACTCAGTTCTGCCATTAGAGCATAAGAATAATCATAGAGTATAAATAAGTGTGGTTGCGTTCCAAAATAGCTTCACAAAAACAGATATAGGGCCAAATTTGACCTGTACCCAGAGTATGCTGACCCCTGTTCTAAGGCCTCGTTACTGAAAAAGTTCAGCTTCTTTAAAATGTTGACTATAAACGCAAACAGGATCATTAGAGAAATTAGGACAACAAATTATACTTTTTTGTTTGTAAATTGTAAACACAACACAGTAGCTTATAACATGGACTTTGGAGCCTAAATGGCTATGTTCAAATTCTAGATCAACCATTAACCAGTACAATGATATCAGGTAAGGTTCTTAATCTTTTGAAGACTAATTTTTCTAATCTGTTTACAATGGGGCTCAAGAGGGACCAATCCCACGGAGTTGTTTTGAGAATTAAATATTTTCACTTTTATAAAGCATTGAAAAAGTATTCAGGAAATAGGAAATGCTTTATTAGTATCTGCAGGAGTATTTCACAATTAGATGTTAACTAAAAGAATGATTACATTAACTTCTTTAAAACAGATCATGTGGATGTTAATAAAATACTTCTTCATTGGGTTTTCAGAAAAGTCATGACATATTGTTCTATGTTTTGTTTTTCTATACAAAAATGTATGGTGACTTTTCTGACAACCCAATAATTGCCACTATTTTCCCTTTATGACAAGAAGAAAGAGACGACTTAAATCTCACTTTGCACAAAATGCCACAGGTTAAAGAAGAAATTTTAGAGGTTAAGTAGGCCAAGTCAGAAATACATTTTCCATATTTTACTATAATCATTACACAAATCAAAGAGTTGCAAAAAGCAGAAGGTACTCTACTTCCCCTAGAGTTCTTTTAGTTTCTAAATATGAAAAATGGTGGAAGTCTGAGAAAGACCGGCACTGGAAAATGTCAACAGACATAGTACATTCTGCATGTTGAAAGTTGGTGGAAGTTGAAAGAACATGGAAAGTTCCGTTAATCTGGAAAGTGTCTACAAAACTTCTGCTACCTCTGCCACAGAAACATGGTTTCGTAATTTTACAAGTTACTAACTCGCTTATATACCTAGGATCAACCAATCTCAGATGCTACAATAAGCGTCTCCTAACTTTGCTGTAAATGGCACAGGCTCTGTCCTTGTAATCATGGCCTCTACCAGTCTTTTCTCATCCAGTTTCAACAAGCACATGCAAGTATAAACCTTCCTCAGAGTGTGTCATGGACTTACAGTAACCCATGACTGGGTTCTCTTAAGGTTTAAAACTCATATGGACAAAATGAATGACTGTCCCCATGAGAGATGGCTAATACAAAAATACGAAAACATACATACAGTGTCTTTCCTATGACACTGAAAACACATACTTCTATCAAAATTTCAGAGTTTGATGACCTTACCACATTTTCCATAGATCACGCTAAATTGCTCCATCAGTTCAGTTTCGGTTTTAAATGGGGAGTATTTATAAATTATAGACAATTCTACTGAGAATTTTTGAGGATCATCTGTGAAAGGTTCTCTGGTTCTTGTTAACCATGAAGGTAATGGAACTACAACCTATAAAAGAAGCATACATCAATTTATTATGAAAGACATAATGCCATCATCCTTTTGTCTGATCTTAATTCATTCTACTCTTCATCCACACCAATTACAAAACACAACACCAGAAGTTTATTTTCCACCTGCATTATACTTTTATAAGGAGAGACACATAATAAACATGCATTCTCAGGATTTTATTTTGAAATACTCCATGTGGGGCTGGCCCCACAGCCTAGTGGTTATGGGAGCTAGGTCCCACATAGCTAACCATAGTTCAAATCCTGGCCCCAGAAGCCTAAAACACATGCACATCCATATGCTCAAAAATCCCAATAAAGGGACCAGCAGACGGCATAATGATTACATCACTGGACTCTACACCACATAGTTGACCACAGTTTAAGTCCCGGACCCAGTGGCTTAAACTCATGCTGGGCATGTGTGGATGCGTGTCCAAAATCCCAAGAGGAGAATAGAGGAGAAGGGATTATGGTGTGTCCATCTCCTCGGGGAGGGGGGGGGGGGGGGAATTTCTTAGTGGCTT